CACGTCTTGTGGTACAGTCCTCACGTCTTGTGGTACGGTCCTCACGTCTTGTGGTACGGTCCTCACGTCTTGTGGTACGGTCCTCACGTCTTGTGGTACGGTCCTCACGTCTTGTGGTACGGTCCTCACGTCTTGTGGTACGGTCCTCACGTCTTGTGGTACGGTCCTCACGTCTTGTGATACGGTCCTCACGTCTTGTGGTACAGTCCTCACGTCTTGTGGTACGGTCCTCACGTCTTGTGGTACGGTCCTCACGTCTTGTGGTACGGTCCTCACGTCTTTTGGTACGGTCCTCACGTCTTGTGGTACGGTCCTCACGTCTTGTGGTACGGTCCTCACGTCTTGTGGTACGGTCCTCACGTCTTGTGGTACAGTCCTCACGTCTTGTGGTACGGTCCTCACGTCTTGTGGTACGGTCCTCACGTCTTGTGGTACGGTCCTCACGTCTTGTGGTACGGTCCTCACGTCTTGTGGTACGGTCCTCACGTCTTGTGGTACGGTCCTCACGTCTTGTGGTACGGCTAATCGTTATGTCACACTCAGCTCCCTCCTTCACTCTCGTGGGTTTATCAAATATCACGTGACTTATACTTCTGGCTGACTCTACCAGCCATTGACATGAGACCACTGTCATGAAACCCCTGACATGAGACCACTGACATGAGACCACTGACGTGAGACCACTGACATGAGACCACTGACATGAGACCACTGACGTGAGACCACTGACGTGAGACCACTGACATGAGACCACTGACATAAGACCACTGATCACTAACGTGAGACCACTGCCATGAGACCACTGACATGAGACCACTGACATGAGACCACTGACATGAGACCACTGACATGAGACCACTGACATGAGACCACTGAAGACATCAATCAGTCCTGTCAGAACTCGGCTGTTATACACCTTACAAGGTGCTGTATTTCTTCCGTGGCAAGGATTACAGCTCCCCCCCCCCCCCCCCCCACCGCCTGTAGTGCTGTTTGATTTGCATCGAAGCGTGAACCTGATCAATTGACTTGAGGGCTGCCTCGTTTTACTTGACGTATCACGTTTTTTTTACTGCAGATGTCCTCCTGTTGTCCTGTGGTTGTCCTCCCGTTGTCCTCCTGTTGTCCTCTTGTTGTCCTCCTGTTGTCCTCTTGTTGTCCTCCTGTTGTCCTCCTGTTGTCCTCCTGTTGTCCTCTTGTTGTCCTCCTGTTGTCCTCCTGTTGTCCTGTGGTTGTCCTCCTATTGTCCTCCTGTTGTCCTCCTATTGTCCTCCTGTTGTCCTCCTATTGTCCTGCTGTTGTCCTGCTGTTGTCCTGCTGTTGTCCTGCTGTTGTCCTCCTATTGTCCTGTGGATGTCCTGCTGTTGTCCTCCTATTGTCCTGTGGATGTCCTGTGGTTGTCCTCCTATTGTCCTCCTATTGTCCTCCTGTTGTCCTCCTATTGTCCTGCTGTTGTCCTGCTGTTGTCCTCCTATTGTCCTGTGGATGTCCTGCTGTTGTCCTCCTATTGTCCTCCTGTTGTCCTCCTATTGTCCTGCTGTTGTCCTGCTGTTGTCCTCCTATTGTCCTGTGGATGTCCTGCTGTTGTCCTCCTATTGTCCTCCTGTTGTCCTCCTATTGTCCTGCTGTTGTCCTGCTGTTGTCCTGCTGTTGTCCTCCTATTGTCCTGTGGATGTCCTGCTGTTGTCCTCCTATTGTCCTCCTGTTGTCCTCCTATTGTCCTGCTGTTGTCCTGCTGTTGTCCTCCTATTGTCCTGTGGATGTCCTGCTGTTGTCCTCCTATTGTCCTCCTGTTGTCCTCCTATTGTCCTGCTGTTGTCCTGCTGTTGTCCTGCTGTTGTCCTCCTATTGTCCTGCTGTTGTCCTGCTGTTGTCCTCCTATTGTCCTGCTGTTGTCCTGCTGTTGTCCTGCTGTTGTCCTCCTATTGTCCTCCTGTTGTCCTGCTGTTGTCCTCCTGTTGTCCTCCTGTTGTCCTCCTGTTGTCCTACTGTTGTCCTGCTGTTGTCCTGTGGTTGTCCTGAGGTTGTCCTCCTATTGTCCTCCTGTTGTCCTCCTATTGTCCTGCTGTTGTCCTGCTGTTGTCCTCCTATTGTCTTGTGGTTGTCCTGAGGTTGTCCTCCTATTGTCCTCCTGTTGTCCTGCTAATGTCCTCCTATTGTCCTCCTGTTGTCCTGCTGTTGTCCTCCTATTGTCCTGCTAATGTCCTCCTGTTGTCCTCCTGTTGTCCTCCTGTTGTCCTCCTGTTGTCCTGATGATCTCCTGTGTAGCATTCATCTGGCCATTAAAAGGCCATCACACATCAGTTTCAAATGTGCCCATTTGTCATTTGTCCAACCACCAAATTTTCTCTAGCGAGACACAAAAAAAACCTGGCAACATCCTGGTTCATTTCTATTTGGATGCGCAGAATAAACCTCTACCCCCCACCCTCACATCTATGGGGGGGGGGGGGTGGATTGTAATAGATAAAAATAGAAGTAGTACTTCTGTTCTATTTTTGACTTAATGAACAGTTATCCCCTCCCCACCCCAATTTTTATTTTAACCAATCAGCAGCGCCGGCCATTTGTGTGTACACAACAGCGGTGTAGAGGGCGCTCTTTCAAACTTAGGGCTCTAGTAGTTAGAGGGCGCTCCTTCAAACTTAGGGCTCTAGTAGTTAAAAGCCCCAGCCTCTAATTAAAAGCCCAAATCTGTAATAAGAAGCCCCAGCCCCTAATAAGAAGCCCCAGCCCCTAATAAGAAGCCCCAGCCCCTAATAAGAAGCCCCAGCCTCTAATAAGAAGCCCCAGCCCCTAATAAGAAGCCCAAGCCCCTAATAAGAAGCCCCAGCCCCTAATAAGAAGCCCCAGCCCCTAATAAGAAGCCCCAGCCCCTAATAAGAAGCCCCAGCCCCTAATAAGAAGCCCCAGCCCCTAATAAGAAGCCCCAGCCCCTAATAAGAAGCCCCAGCCCCTAATAAGAAGCCCCAGCCCCTAATAAGAAGCCCCAGCCCCTAATAAGAAGCCTCAGCCCCTAATAAGAAGCCCCAGCTTCTAATAAGAAGCCCCAGTCCCTAATAAGAAGCCCCAACCCCTAATAAGAAGCCCCAGCCCCTAATAAGAAGCCCCAGCCCCTAATAAGAAGCCCCAGCCCCTAATAAGAAGCCCCAGCCCCTAATAAGAAGCCCCAGCCCCTAATAAGAAGCCCCAGCCCCTAATAAGAAGCCCCAGCCCCTAATAAGAAGCCCCAGCCCCTAATTAAAAGCCCGAACACAGCAACCTACCCTGGACGTTCGAGTGCGGCAAGTGCCTGACCCCGATCATAGCCCGGCGGTCACAGTTTGTTCTAACAAGTCACACCCCCCCCCCCCACCATTCCCACCACCCGTGTCACGTGATTAAGATAACGGCTGAAGTCTGCAGAGATCAGTGACGTTTGTCTGGAATTTCGGACGTAACGGTTAGTGGGCGACCTAGTTTCAAAATACAAACTAGGTCATTCTCCGTCAGTCAACAGGGTTTTATCCCAGAACAGTAGAGGCTCTCAATTAGACAGACCGTACCCCAAAATACAGGCTCTCAATCTGACAGACCGTACCCCAAAATACAGGGTCTCAATTAGGCAGACCGTACCCCAAAATACAGGGTCTCAATTAGACAGACCGTACCCCAAAATTCAGGGTCTCAATTAGACAAACCGTACCCCAAAATACGGGCTCTCAATTAGACAGACCGTACCCCAAAATACAGGGTCTCAATTAGGCAGACCGTACCCCAAAATACATGTTCTCAATTAGACAGACCGTACCCCAAAATACAAGGTCTCAATTAGACAGACCGTGACGTCAAGTTGGTTATTTGTGCGACTCCATGTTTCCCCGGGGATGGGGAGAGTCTGATTTCATTTGACCACAACCAACGCCATCATTTCTTGATTCATTCTAATACAGCTTCCATTTCTACTTCTCTACTATCGTTGGGCCACTGGGTATCTTTTATCCGCTGTACCCCAAATAATGGGGTCCTCAATTTTAAAGGGACCCCGAAATGGTTCCTTTTAAATCCAAGTACAAACCCGAAAAATGAAGTGTTATGTAATGTCTGTAATTGATTAGAGGCATTATATATATATATATATATATATATATATATATATATATATATATATATATATATATATATATATATATACATATTGCCATCTTACGTTACACAAAAAGTAAGTCAAAATAAAGTCACATGACCTTGCCAGTACCGTGTGAACCCAGTGAAGTGGGTGCAGGGGAAATAATCCTTTCCCGACTGTTGCATCGGTTGTTGACAGTCCTGCTTCAGTGGACACATGGGGTGGGGGAGGGGGTAGCAGGATAAGCAAATATCTTCCTGTGGTATCAGTGACACAACATGGCTGTTGTGGGGCAGGTCACACGCAGGTCACGTGCGGGATGTTGTTTCCTGTTGTGGTGGTCGGCCGATGACGTCATTATCTAATCCCGTGAGGTCATCAAGTACAGGTCAGAAGTCTGAGACTGTTGTTGTCATCTATGTCATGATGATCTGACATCGATGACATCTCATGGTCAAGGCTTGTTTGAACATATTTTGACTGGCTAAGTTAACAGACCAACATATTTTGACTGGCTAAGTTAACAGACCAACATATTTTGACCGGCTAAGTTAATTGACCAACATATTTTGACCGGCTAAGTTAATTGACCAACATATTTTGACTGGCTAAGTTAACAGACCAACATATTTTGACTGGCTAAGTTAACAGACCAACATATTTTGACTGGCTAGTGGCTAAGTTAATTGACCAACATATTTTGATTGGCCAAGTTAACAGACTGACATAGAGACGACTCTCTCCGGCGTATGACGTCACGTGCCCCAGATCTGCCGGCCAGGAAAGTTGGCCGCGCCACAAAGAAAAGTTGCGCAGTTGAAAACTGTGCGCCCAGTGAGGCGTGACGCCGCCATTCCTGACGACAAGCGTGCACGTCGCCGCCGTTATAAGAGCAGACGACAGTGCGCAGGCCGCAGTCAGCTGTTGGCAGTAGCGCAGTAACGGACCAAAACCTTCCCAAATCAAACGTTCGGAGTATTATTTATTCAACATATTTTAGGATCAACTTTCTCCAGTGTTTAAGTTAACTTTGGTTTGTTGAACCAAATACATTTCGCATACGTTTTTTTCACTCTACAATGGTAAGTGGTTTAGCTGTGTATCTCGTTGGTTAACGTTTAAGTATATTTGGTTCGGTGTTTAGAGTAGCCGTTCGTCGATGACCGCTGTGTCTGCTGATGATTCGCCTGTTTCTTCAAAACTTTTCTGCTCCAATAGGGAGGTTAACCCGTGTGATTTCATTTACTGCTAGTATTTCTAGGTCAACTGCCGTGTTCTACTCGTGTGTGTTGGTCAGTGACATAATGCTTGACGTCATCACATCCTATACACCTCACACCATCAGATCTCACACACTCTTCATAACATCACACCCCACACATCCTCACAAACCCCTCACAACATGACAGCCCACACAGATCCTAGCACCTAGATTGAACTTTTTTTGTTTTCATTTTTCAGCGAGAAAATTTTAAACTTTAAAAACTGGTTTTATAATGTAGCCACAACATATTCTATGTGTGTGAATGTATGTGTGTGTGTGTGAAGCGTTGACGAGTTTCTTGAGAAACCAGACGATGTCTCCCAATCAGGACAAAAGACTCTAGGTGCTACAGCTTGACTTGCCCAATTGGCTGGCTGGCGGCCAACTTGTACCTGGCAACCACTGACGCACACACAGGTCGACGACTGCTGAACTAGGTCACGTGACAATCCTGTACCCCACTTCAACGTCTCAGTGACTCTATACGTCTGGCTATTTCTGGCACAAGTGTTGACATTAGACGTCAGAGCCACACAAGTTGATATTAGACGTCATAGTTACACAAGTTGACATTAGACGTCATAGTTACACAAGTTGACATTAGACGTCATAGTCACACAAGTTGACATTAGACGTCATAGCCACACAAGTTGACATTAGACGTCATAGTTACACAAGTTGACATTAGACGTCATAGTTACACAAGTTGACATTAGACGTCATAGTTACACAAGTTGACATTAGACGTCATAGCCACACAAGTTGACATTAGACGTCATAGCCACACAAGTTGACATTAGACGTCATAGCCACACAAGTTGACATTAGACGTCATAGTTACACAAGTTGACATTAGACGTCATAGTTACACAAGTTGACATTAGACGTCATAGTTACACAAGTTGACATTAGACGTCATAGTTACACAAGTTGACATTAGACGTCATAGTTACATAAGTTGACATTAGACGGGGCTGTTCAACTTCAGCAAACAATCTATTTTTAGCACGTCTCATCACTGGGCGCAGTTTCCGTTGAGTCAACTGAAATGTCAAATGGATGACTCACCTTGATGACACTCGTCATGCAGAGTTTCTTCCAGGCATCTCTTCGGGTGGGCACCGCCACCCCCCCCCCCCCCCCCGAAGAAAGGCTACCGCCCCCCGAACGAAATGGAATTTATATAGAAATAATATACTTTTGACAGTGTCCCCCCCCCCCCCGGAAATTGTTGTCCCCCCCCCCCCCCCCCCCCGAAAATTTCAAGTGCACCCCCGGAGAAAAAAGTCTGGAAGCTGGAAGAAACACTGTCGTCATGTCACATAGTTGTCAGTTGTCATTGTCCTGACATCAGGTGCTGTCACCCTTTGAGGTGTGTGCGTTTTCGACAAAAAAAGATGTATTAGTTGTTCAACATTGTCACAATGTCGAATCAGCATTGTCACAATGTCGAATCAACAATGTCGCAATGTCGAATCAACATTGTCACAATGTTGAATCAACAATGTCGCAATGTTGAATCAAGTGTTGAAAATGTCAACCATCGTCTAGCTGGCGCAAATGTCGCGTGATTTGATTGAAACACGTGATATCTATTTTTACTTCAATTTGTGTATTGTTTCGTATGAAGTTTGAAATTGTTTGTTTTGTTGAAGTTTGAAATTGTTTGTTTTGTTGAAGTTTGAAATTGTTTGTTTTGTTGAAGTTTGAAATTGTTTGTTTTGTTGAAGTTTGAAATTGTTTGTTTTGTTGAAGTTTGAAATTGTTTGTTTTGTTGAAGTTTGAAATTGTTTGTTTTGTTGAAGTTTGAAATTGTTTGTTTTGTTGAAGTTTGAAATTGTTTGTTTTGTTGAAGTTTGAAATTGTTTGTTTTGTTGAAGTTTGAAATTGTTTGTTTTGTTGAAGTTTGAAATTGTTTGTTTTGTTGAAGTTTGAAATTGTTTGTTTTGTTGAAGTTTGAAATTGTTCGTTTTGTTGAAGTTTGAAATTGTTTGTTTTGTTTCTCCAGCAAATACCCAGCACCCACGTGACCAGACATTAATCGTGCACGACCAGCAGACGACATAGTACAACCAGCAGACGAGACAAGATGGCGGCGTCCAAGCTGTACCCAACCCTCAGTTCCTTCTACAACAAGAGTTACATCGACTTTGGCAGTGAGGCGGACATGTTAGCCGGCGTGCCGGCAGACCGGCTTTACCGCAAGCCACGTGACGAGCTGAGAGCTAACCGCGACAACAGCGAGGCGAAGAAAGACTTGAGCTCAAACAAGACATTCCCGGCTGACGGAGCTCAGAGCTTAGAGCTTGAGCTCCAGACGGCAGACAGCGCGTGTCTGCCCTCTGCCCCGCCCCTCGAGTGGTCAGACGAGGACATTGAGCGGTTCCTGGAGGACGTCGCCCAGCAGCAAGAGCTGGCCCTACAACACGACCTTGACCCTGACGGTTTCTGGGTCGATGATCTCCAGCCCGACTACGACATGACCCCTGAGGTGACCCCTGAGACGACCCCTGAGACGACCCCCGCCGAACATTTGAACAATCTCAACAAAGCGGAGACCCCCGCGGGTCAGTCGGCCAAAGACCACTCGCTCCTAGTCAACAACATCTTGGCCACACCCCAGGGCTCGCCCCGGGGGGAGAGATCCAGGAGGGTCGTCCAGACGCGGCGCAGTGACCCCCACAAACGTCACGTGACCAACATTCCGCGCGCGGTTGAGCACAGGCCCGCATCCAGTAGCCGGAAGCCGGATGTTAGCCACGACAAAGAAAACCACGCCGGCTCTAGCGAAAACTTATCCAGACCCGCGACCCCAGGCAGCCCCGACCCCCGAGAGCCACGAGCAGAGGGAGCCGTCACCCCAGGGAGCCCCGAGTACAACGCCTGGATGACATGGAGGAAACAGGTAAGGACATGTTGAGGGCAGTTCTTTTTCTTGGGGGCAGTTCTTTTTCTTGGGGGCAGTTCTTGGGCAGCTCGTTTTCTTGGGGGCAGTTCTTGGGCAGCTCGTTTTCTTGGGGGCAGTTCTTGGGCAGCTCGTTTTCTTGGGGGCAGTTCTTTTTCTTGGGGGCAGTTCTTTTTCTTGGGGGCAGTTCTTTTTCTTGGGGGCAGTTCTTTTTCTTGGGGCAGTTCTTTTTCTAGGGGGCAGTTCTTTTGTTGGGGGCAGTTCTTTTTCTTGGGGGCAGTTCTTTTTCTTGGGGCAGTTCTTTTTCTAGGGGGCAGTTCTTTTTCTAGGGGGCAGTTCTTTTGTTGGGGGCAGTTCTTTTTCGGGGGGCAGTTCTTTTTCTTGGAGGAAGTTCTTGGGCAGTTCTTTTTCTTGGAGGAAGTTCTTTTTCTTGGGGCAGTTCTTTTTCTTGGAGGAAGTTCTTGGGCAGTTCTTTTTCTTGGGCATTTCTTGGTCTTTGGCAGTTCTCTGGCAGTTAATGCGGCTATCTCTAGATCAGCCCGACTCAATAGTTGAGCTGATGTTATCTCCCAACCGATTAGTTTAGCTCACTCTACTCCATCTTGTGCCCTCAGGTAAACCGGCAGCTGGCGACCGTGATCCTGCTCAAGCGGAACGGCCAGGTGCACGTGCAGAAGAAGGACATGGCCAGGAGGCCGCTAAGCCAGAGCTCCATTGACTTTGTCTCGCTCTTCAAGGCCGAGAACAAGACCTCGCTGGGCGGCAAACCCTTCCTTATGTACGGCATTCCCAGAGTCTCGTTGCCTAGCAACCAGTGAGGGGCGGACCCAACATTGCATGACAATCATTTGGTCTCGTGGAGACGTCACTCACCTACCGGCATGCACTTCTACCTGGTCATAGGTCAAGGTCAGACCGTGTCAGACATTGTGGTGACTGCTGCCAGAAATTTTCTACTCACCTGCCCATGCACGTGCTTCATGAGATTGTTGACTTACTTTTAGAAGTCAATTTATGTTTGCATTTGATGACGGGGATTCCCGTAAATTTATTTTCATTGTGTATATATGTGTACAGTTTGACAAGTTTATTGTACATACGTGTAGCATGTTTGTACTTAGTTGGGTACCTGTATATTTTAGTATGGGCAGACATACAAGCAATTTCTATGTGATATTTTTCTATGATCGCTGCATTAATTAGTTCATACATGTTTAACTATGTGATGATATTTTTTATTTAACATGAAGACGTATGTGTGTGTGTGTGTGACAGTGTGTGCGTGTATGTGGAACGGTGTGTGTGTGTGTATAAATATGTACTTGTTTGACTATGTATGAAGTATAGTTGTGTGTGTGAGCCTGTCGCTGTGTGTATGTGACGAAGTGTGTGTGTGATGATGTGTGTGTGTGACGATGTGTGTGTATACACCTGAATGTGTGTGTATATGTGTGGCCATATGACGAAGATGTGATAAGTTCCTGATGACGTCATCACGCTGATGACGTCAATAAAAATGTTTTGCCAATCCCCGAGCTTGTAGAGTTTTATTTGTTTCACGTGTGCTCTAGTGCTTGACACATTCAAGTCTAGTACTGGTCTGGATGTAACATTTTATTTGTCAACTGGCGGACATACTGTACAATACATATTTGCTTGCCTATTTACAACTTCATATTGTTCTAAATATAACATTTTAAAAGTTGATACACAACTGTATTCACTTTCTTGGAGCAGCAACAGTGTCTTGATCTAGCCGGCAGCCTGACTTAGCCACTTCCGGTCAAACTGCAGCGGTCGAGGCTGATGCCCACAGCCTGCACGGCGCTAATGAAGTGGGTCTTGTCGTAGCCGAGGTCAAGGGCCGCCCGCACCAGGCTACAGCCAAAATACTTGAACGTTGTCTCCTGGGGGGGGGGGGGGGGAAGAGGGGATAAACGATATAGGGTACAAACATTCAACAGGTAGCAACAAACCTACAACATGTGGCTACACAATTCAACAGGTAGCAACAAACATTCAACATGTAGCTACATACATACAACATGTAACTACAAACATTCAACAGGTAGCAACAAACAGGTGACTAGCCGTGTCAGACTGACCTCTTGCATGTAGACAAAGTGGGCCAAGTTGAAGGCCTTGAAAACGTCATCGTGGCTGAGGCCGTGTTGGGAGACGAGCAGGTAGTAGATGTAGCAGACGACACCGTTACCGTCAAACCTGGAGAGTTAAACCTGGACAGTTGAACATGGACAGTTGAACATGGACAGTTGAACATGGACAGTTGAACATGGACAGTTGAACATGGACAGTTGAACATGGACAGTTGAACATGGACAGTTGAACATGGACAGTCGAACATGGACAGTCGAACCTGGACAGTCGAACATGGACAGTCGAACATGGACAGTTGAACATGGGCAGTTGAACATGGGCAGTCGAACATGGACAGTTGAACATGGGCAGTTGAACATGGGCAGTTGAACATGGGCAGTTGAACATGGACAGTTGAACATGGGCAGTTGAACATGGGCAGTTGAACATGGACAGTTGAACATGGAGAGTTGAACATGGACAGTTGAACATGGAGAGTTAAACATGGACAGTTGAACATAGACAGTTGAACATGGACAGTTGAACATAGACAGTTGAACATGGACAGTTGAACATGGACAGTTGAACATAGACAGTTGAACATAGACAGTTAAACATAGACAGTTGAACATGGACAGTTGAACATGGAGAGTTGAACATGGAGAGTTAAACATGGACAGTTGAACATGGAGAGTTAAACATGGACAGTTGAACATAGACAGTTGAACATGGACAGTTGAACATAGACAGTTGAACATGGACAGTTGAACATGGACAGTTGAACATAGACAGTTGAACATAGACAGTTAAACATAGACAGTTGAACATGGACAGTTGAACATGGAGAGTTGAACATGGAGAGTTAAACATGGACAGTTGAACATGGAGAGTTAAACATGGACAGTTGAACATAGACAGTTGAACATGGACAGTTGAACATAGACAGTTGAACATGGACAGTTGAACATGGACAGTTGAACATAGACAGTTGAACATAGACAGTTAAACATGGACAGTTGAACATGGACAGTTGAACATGGACAGTTGAACATAGACAGTTGAACATGGACAGTTGAACATGGAGAGTTAAACATGGACAGTTGAACATAGACAGTTGAACATGGACAGTTGAACATAGACAGTTGAACATAGACAGTTGAACATGGACAGTTGAACATGGACAGTTAAACATGGACAGTTCAACATGGACAGTTCAACATGGACAGCTAAACATGGACAGTTTACGGATTGATGGTCATGGTTGAGGGTCAGGGTTGAGGGTCAGGGTTGAGGGTCAGGGTTGAGGGTCAGGGTTGAGGGCCAGGGTTGATTGTCAGGGTTGAGGGTCAGGGTTGAGGGTCAGGGTTGAGGGTCAGGGTTTACTTACGGGTTGAGTGGGTCAAAGTCCCTGACATGGCGGACTGAAGGGTTGTCGAAGGAGCGAAGACCGTCTTTACCTGCTCTGTAGACACCAGCACCAAATCTCCAGTCGTAGGGTCCTAGAGGACAGACAGGACATTTTAGTCACAGGACAGACAGGACATTTTAGTCACTGGACTGATAGGACATTTTGGTCAGAGAACAGACAGGACATTTTAGTCAAAGGACAGACAGGACATTTAAGTCACTGGAAAGACTGGACATTTTAGTCACAGGACAGACAGGACATTTTAGTCACTGGAAAGACTGGACATTTTAGTCACTGGAAAGACTGGACATTTTAGTCATTGGACAGACAGGACATTTTAGTCACTGGAAAGACTGGACATTTTAGTCACAGGACAGACAGGACATTTTAGTCACTGGAAAGACTGGACATTTTAGTCACAGGACAGACAGGACATTTTAGTCACTGGAAAGACTGGACATTTTAGTCACTGGAAAGACTGGACATTTTAGTCACAGGACAGACAGGACATTTTAGTCACTGGACAGAGAGGACACTTTGGTCAGAGGACAGACAGGACATTTTAGTCACATGACAGACAGGACATTTTAGTCACTGGACAGAGAGGACACTTTGGTCAGAGGAGAGACAGGACAGTTTAGTCAGAAGACAGATTAGTGACTTTTCTTTGCTAGATCCGGACCCCTTTAGTTCTTGTGGATGACCTACTTTATAAAAACATGTGAATGACCTACTTTGTCTAAGGGCTCCTGTAGTTCCTGTGGGTGACCTACTTTCTAAAGACCTGTGAGTGACCTACTTTGATTGACCAGGGCCGGGCTCCTGTAGTTCCTGAAGGCGATGGCGTAGATGTCGGACATGGCCTCGTCCAGTGCCAGAGACTCTTGGTCAAAGTTGAGGATCCCCAGGCTGGCGGTCACTCGATGTGTCATCTGGGGGTGGCATATGTCACATGGTCAGATGTCATCTCGGGCACAGGCAACAAGACAGACAACAGGACAGACAACAGGACAACAGGACAGTCAACAGGACAGACAACAGGACAGACAACATGACAGACAACATGACAGACAACAGGACAGTCAACAGGACAGTCTATAGGACAGTCAACAGGACAGACAACAGGACAGACAACAGGACAGTCAACAGGACAGTCTATAGGACAGTCAACAGGACAGACAACAGGACAGGCAACAGGACAGACAACATGACAGACAACATGACAGACAACAGGACAGTCAACAGGACAGTCTATAGGACAGTCAACAGGACAGAAAACAGGACAGACAACAGGACAGTCAACAGGATATACAACAGGACAGACAACATGACAGACAACAAGACAGTCAACAGGACAGACAACAGGACAGTATGTAGGACAGACAACAGGACAGTCTATAGGACAGACAACAGGACAGTCAACTGACCTCGTGGGCTATAATGTCCGGGTCAGCAAATGACGAGGTCAAGTTGCCGTCGCCGTCCCCCAGCACAATGTTGCGGCCGTCAAAGAAAGCATTGTCTATGGCAGGGCCGTAGTGGCAGTAGATGGTCACGCTGGGCACCATCTGACCCAGACCCCGGTCCTGGGCGTGTAGGGGCGGAACAGATTGTTAACATGGGCGTGGGTGGGAACATTGGGGAGGGGGAAATGGTAGGGATGTTTGACTGGTTGTATACCCGCAGCTCCACCCCCATCCGCTCATTTAACCCACCCCACCAAATCCTCACATCAACCCCCACCTCGTCCCCCAATGCGAACCCCGTCCCCACTCCCTCCCCATGCCCACCCCGTCCCCACCCCATCCCCATATCCACCCCCATGCACACCCCCAGGACTGACCCTGAAGAAACAGTTGTAGAGGTTGGCGTAGTGGAAGGCGTCGGCTGCTGGGGAGAAGGCGCCGTTGATGGCGTCGTTTGGTCCGTCGTCACAGTTGAACGTCACCACCTGCAACACGGGAATCACGTGACTATTATTCTACCTGCACGCATTAATGCTTTAGTCTACCTGTAAATGGTTCAGGCTACACACTGCAGTATTGTTTCTAACTACTTGGTTACTTGAACACACAGGTGGGCAGACAGGTGGGCAGACAGGTGGGCAGACAGGTGGGCAGACAGGTGGACAGACAGGTGGACAGACAGGTGGACAGACAGGTGGGCAGACAGGTGGACAGACAAGTGGACAGACAGGTGGACAGACAGGTGAGTAGACAGGTGGACAGACAGGTGGGCAGACAGGTGGACAGACAGGTGGACAGACAGGTGGGCAGACAGGTAGACAGACAGGTGGGCAGACAGGTGGGCAGACAGGTGGAAAGACAGGTGGGCAGACAGGTGGACAGACAGGTGGAAAGACAAGTGGACAGACAGGTGGACAGACAGGTGGACAGACAGGTGGGCAGACAGGTAGACAGACAGGTGGACAGACAGGTGGGCAGACAGGTGGACAGACAGGTGGACAGACAGGTGGACAGACAGGTGGACAGACAGGTGGGCAGACAGGTGGGCAGACAGGTGGACAGACAGGTGGACAGACAATTGGACAGACAGGTGGACAGACAGGTGAGTAGACAGGTGAACAGACAGGTAGGCAGACAGGTGGGCAGAAAGGTGGGCAAAGAGGTGAACAGACAGGTGGGAAGACAGGTGGACAGACAGGTGGGCAGACAGGTGGGCAGACAGGTGGTCAGACAGGTGGGCAGACAGGTGGACAGATAGGTGGGCAGACAGGTGAACAGACAGGTGAGTAGACAGGTGAACAGACAGGCGGACAGACAGGTGGACAGACAGTTGGATAGACATGTGGGCAGAAAGGTGGGCAGAAAGGTGGGCAGACAGGTGAACAGACAGGTGGGCAGACAGGTGGGCAGACAGGTGGACAGACAGGTGGGCAGAAAAGTGGGCAGAAAGGTGAGCAGACAGGTGGACAGACAATTGGACAGACAGGTGAGTAGACAGGTGGACAGACAGGTGGACAGACAAGTGGACAGACAGGTGGGCAGACAGGTGAGTAGACAGGTGGACAGACAGGTGGGCAGACAGGTGGACAGACAGGTGGGCAGACAGGTGGGCATACAGATGGACAGACAGGTGGGCAGACAGGTGGACAGACAGGTGGACAGACGGGTGAGTAGACATGTGAACAGACAGGTAGGCAGACAGGTGGGCAGAAAGGTGGGCAGATAGGTGGGTAGACAGGTGGGCAGACAGGTGGACAGACAGGTGGACAGACAGGTGGGCAGACAGGTGGACAGATAGGTGGGCAGACAGGTGAACAGACAGGTGAGTAGACAGGTGAACAGACAGGCGGACAGACAGGTGGACAGACAGTTGGATAGACATGTGGGCAGAAAGGTGGGCAGAAAGGTGGGCAGACAGGTGAGTAGACAGGTGGGCAGACAGGTGGACAGACAGGTGGACAGACAGGTGAGTAGACAGGTGAACAGACAGGTGGGCAGACAGGTGGGCAGACAGGTGGACAGACAGGTGGGCAGACAGGTGGGCAGACAGGTGGACAGACAGGTGGACAGACAGGTGGGCAGACAGGTGGACAGACAGCTGAGTTGAAAGGTGAATAGACAGGTGAGCAGACAGGTGGGCAGACAGGTGGGCAGACAGGTGGGCAGACAGGTGGACAGACAGATGAGTAGACAGGTGGACAGACAGTTGGATAGACATGTGGGCAGAAAGGAGGGCAGAAAGGTGGGCAGACAGGTGGACAGACAATTGGACAGACAGGTGAGTAGACAGGTGGACAGACAGGTGGGCAGACAGGTGGGCAGACAGGTGGACAGACAGGTGGCAGACAGGTGGACAGACAGGTGGGCAGACAGTTGGGCAGACAGGTGGCAGACAGGTGGGCAGACAGGTGGACAGACAGGTGAGTAGACAGGTGCAAAGACAGGTGGGCAGACAGGTGGGCAGACAGGTGGGCAGACAGGTGGACAGACAGGTGGACAGACATGTGAGTAGACAGGTGGATAGACAGGTGGGCAGACAGGTGGACAGACAGGTGGGCAGACAGGTGGACAGACAGGTGAGTAGACAGGTGAACAGACAGGTGGACAGACAGGTGAACAGACAGTTGGATAGACATGTGGGCAGAAAGGTGGGCAGAAAGGTGGGCAGACAGGTGGACAGACAATTGGACAGACAGGTGAGTAGACAGGTGGACAGACAGGTGGGCAGACAGGTGGGCAGACAGGTGGACAGACAGGTGGCAGACAGGTGGACAGACAGGTGGGCAGACAGGTGGGCAGACAGGTGGACAGACAGGTGGCAGACAGGTGGACAGACAGGTGAGTAGACAGGTGGAAAGACAGGTGGGCAGACAGGTGGACAGACAGGTGGGCAGACAGGTGGGCAGACAGGTGGACAGACAGGTGGGCAGACAGGTGGGCAGACAGGTGAGTAGACAGGTGGGCAGACAGGTGGGCAGACAGGTGGGCAGACAGGTGGGCAGACAGGTGGGCAGACAGGTGGACAGACAGGTGGACATACAGGTGGACAGACATGTGAGTAGACAGGTGGACAGACAGGTGGGCAGACAGGTGGGCAGACAGGTGGACAGACAGGTGGGCAGACAGGTGGGCAGACAGGTGGACAGACAGGTAAGTAGACAGGTGAACAGACAGGTAGGCAGACAGGTGGACAGACAGGTGGACAGACAGGTGGGCAGACAGATGGGCAGAAAGGTGGACAGACAGGTAGGCAGACATGGAAGGAGAGCATCAAAGAGTGAGTACATTAGCTTTGGTGAGGTCGTAGTCGTTCTGGCAGTGTTTGACCGTGACCTTGCTATTGGTCAGTGAGCACTTGTTGCCCTTGACAGCCGTGTTAAGACACATCTGCTGGGAGATGAGTACATCGTTAGATCACACACACACATGAGCAAACACAGACACACACAGATACAAAAACACACGCGCCCATACACTGAGTCACACAATGAAGCAGAAGGTGTACAACACACACATCATGTACCACACCACCTCAACGATCCCCGACCCCACCCATTCACGACCCCACCCACTCCCCCCCCCCCCCAGTACACCGACAGCGACTTACCTGGCTTTTCCCTGGCCCGTACACGGGTGTGGGGTTCCTCTTGTTGCCCCCCTGGACCTGCGGGCACATCTTGTTGGTGCTGGGAGTTTGGCTGTCACTGTCAATCTCGGAACTCTCACTCTGGTGATGTCGAGACAACTGTCACACCACACACCACACGCCACATGGCAGACAGCACCCAATTACATCGAACCGGCTCTAACCGGCATCCAATTACATCGAACCGGCTCTAACCGGCACCCAATTACATCGAACCGGCTCTAACCGGCTCCCAACCTACATCGAACCGGCTCTAACCGGCACATAACTTACATCGAACCGGCAGCGGACACTACCAATGACGACTTTGAGGGTGAGCGCATCAATCAACACCATCGGTCTCCGCGGGTAGTTGTCTGAAAGTATGGGGGGGGGGGGGGTCCGTGAGTGGGGTAGTTGTCTGAAAGTATGGGGGGGGGGGTCCGTGAGTGGGGTAGTTGTCTGAAAGTATGGGGGGGGGGGGGGGGGGTCCGTGAGTGGGGTAGTTGTCTGAAAGTATGGGGGGGGGGGGGTCCGTGAGTGGGGTAGTTGTCTGAAAATATGGTGGGGGGGGGGGTAGTTGTCTGAAATATGGTGGGGGGGGGGGGTAGTTGTCTGAAAATATGGGGGGGGGGGGTTCCGTGAGTGGGGTAGTTGTCTGAAAATATGGGGGGGGGGTGTTCCGTGAGTGGGGTAGTTGTCTGAAAATATGGTGGGGGGGGGTAGTTGTCTGAAATATGGTGGGGGGGGGGTAGTTGTCTGAAATATGGTGGGGGGGGGGGTAGTTGTCTGAAAATATGGTGGGGGGGGGGGGTTCCGTGAGTGGGGTAGTTGTCTGAAAATATGGTGGGGGGGGGGGTTCCGTGAGTGGGGTAGTTGTCTGAAAATATGGTGGGGGGGGGGGGGGGGGTTCCGTGAGTGGGGTAGTTGTCTGAAAATATGGGGGGGGGGGTTCCGTGAGTGGGGTAGTTGTCTGAAAATATGGTGGGGGGGGGGTTCCGTGAGTGGGGTAGTTGTCTGAAAATATGGTGGGGGGGGGGGTTCCGTGAGTGGGGTAGTTGTCTGAAAATATGGTGGGGGGGGGGGGTTCCGTGAGTGGGGTAGTTGTCTGAAAATATGGTGGGGGGGGGGGGGTTCCGTGAGTGGGGTAGTTGTCTGAAAATATGGTGGGGGGGGGGTAGTTGTCTGAAAATATGGTGGGGGGGGGGTTCCGTGAGTGGGGTAGTTGTCTGAAAATATGGTGGGGGGGGGGTTTCCGTGAGTGGGGTAGTTGTCTGAAAATATGGTGGGGGGGGTTCCGTGAGTGGGGTAGTTGTCTGAAAATATGGTGGGGGGGGGGGGTTCCGTGAGTGGGGTAGTTGTCTGAAAATATGGTGGGGGGGGGGGGGGTTCCGTGAGTGGGGTAGTTGTCTGAAAATATGGTGGGGGGGGGGGTTCCGTGAGTGGGGTAGTTGTCTGAAAATATGGTGGGGGGGGGGGGGGGGTTCCGTGAGTGGGGTAGTTGTCTGAAAATATGGTGGGGGGGGGGTCCGTGAGTGGGGTAGTTGTCTGAAAATATGGTGGGGGGGGGGGGTTCCGTGAGTGGGGTAGTTGTCTGAAAATATGGTGGGGGGGGGTCCGTGAGTGGGGTAGTTGTCTGAAAATATGGTGGGGGGGGGGGGTTCCGTGAGTGGGGTAGTTGTCTGAAAATATGGTGGGGGGGGGGGGGGTCCGTGAGTGGGGTAGTTGTCTGAAAGTATGGTGGGGGGGGGTCCGTGAGTGGGGTAGTTGTCTGAAAGTATGGTGGGGGGGGGGTCCGTGAGTGGGGTAGTTGTCTGAAAGTATGGTGGGGGGGGGGGGGTCCGTGAGTGGGGTAGTTGTCTGAAAGTATGGTGGGGGGGGTCCGTGAGTGGGGTAGTTGTCTGAAAGTATGGTGGGGGGGGGGGGTCCGTGAGTGGGGTAGTTGTCTGAAAGTATGGGGGGGGGGGTCCGTGAGTGGGGGTAGTTGTCTGAAAGTATGGTGGGGGGGGGGTCGTGAGTGGGGTAGTTGTCTGAAAGTATGGGGGGGGGGGGTCCGTGAGTGGGGGGTAGTTGTCTGAAAGTATGGTGGGGGGGGGGTCGTGAGTGGGGTAGTTGTCTGAAAGTATGGTGGGGGGGGGTCGTGAGTGGGGTAGTTGTCTGAAAGTATGGTGGGGGGGGTCCGTGAGTGGGGTAGTTGTCTGAAAGTATGGTGGGGGGGGGGTCCGTGAGTGGGGTAGTTGTCTGAAAGTATGGTGGGGGGGGTCCGTGAGTGGGGTAGTTGTCTGAAAATATGGTGGGGGGGGTCCGTGAGTGGGGTAGTTGTCTGAAAATATGGTGGGGGGGGGGTCCGTGAGTGGGGTAGTTGTCTGAAAGTATGGTGGGGGGGGGGGGTCCGTGAGTGGGGTAGTTGTCTGAAAATATGGTGGGGGGGGGGGTCCGTGAGTGGGGTAGTTGTCTGAAAATATGGTGGGGGGGGGGTCCGTGAGTGGGGTAGTTGTCTGAAAATATGGTGGGGGGGGGTCCGTGAGTGGGGTAGTTGTCTGAAAATATGGTGGGGGGGGGGTCCGTGAGTGGGGTAGTTGTCTGAAAATATGGTGGGGGGGGCGGGGTCCGTGAGTGGGGTAGTTGTCTGAAAATATGGTGGGGGGGGGGGGTCCGTGAGTGGGGTAGTTGTCTGAAAATATGGTGGGGGGGGGGGGGGGGGTCCGTGTGTGGGGTAGGGTTGGGGGATATTTAGTGATTGAAATAAATAACGTTTAAATCAAACTCTGACAGTCATTGATAGTACCACGTGACCTAGAGTCATAAAGTCACGTGACCGACTTACAGACTGTGTCGATGACAGACTGACAGAAGTAGCAGACGGATGACAGGCCAGTCTTGGTGTCCACGTGGATGACCTTGGTGCACGTGAGGTTGCTCAAGTCCTTGACCTTGATGTCGCCCACGTTGACCCTGACATTGTTGCTGTTGACGTAGTCGACGACAACCTGCCTCAGCTCTTTCTCTTTCCTCTGGGGGAGGGTGGGAGGTGGTGAACGGGAGGGTGGGAGGTAGGGAGGGTGGGAGGTGGTGAACGGGAGGGTGGGAGTTGGTGAACGGGAGGGTGGGAGGTGGTGAACGGGAGGGTGGGAGGTGGTGAACGGGAGGGTGGGAGGTGGTGAACGGGAGGGTGGGAGGTAAGGAGGGTGGGAGGTGGTGAACGGGAGGGTGGGAGGTGGTGAACGGGAGGGTGGGAGGTAAGGAGGGTGGGAGGTGGTGAACGGGAGGGTGGGAGGTGGTGAACGGGAGGGTGGGAGGTGGTGAACGGGAGGGTGGGAGGTGGTGAACGGGAGGGTGGGAGGTGGTGAACGGGAGGGTAGGATGGTGTGACCATGATGGTGATGTAGGATGGCGTGACCATGATGGTGATGTAGGATGGTGTGACCATGATGGTGATGTAGGATGGTGTGACCATGATGGTGATGTAGGATGGTGTGACCATGATGGTGATGTAGGATGGTGTGACCATGATGGTGATGTACCTGCCCATAAGACTGACCTCGACACTGACGTCCAGACCGTCTATCCTGGGGACAAACCCCGACACGGCGCCCGTGTAGTAGCCGTTGGGGTCACACGTGGCCTGGAAGGTGAACACGCGCACCGGCACGCCCTTGTACAGGAGGCGGAGCTTCCGTCTGGTCATCCCCAGGGGCACGGGCATCTCCATCTCCACCTGCTCGATGTGGGGGTGGGGTTGGGGGGGGGATGTTAGTTGGTCTCATTGGTGTTGTCAGTCAGTTGGGTCAAGACAGCAACTGTCGCATGTGGGTCAACTGAGTACGGGTCAGCATGGGTCAGTGTGGGTCAGTGTGGGTCAGTGTGGGTCACCTGAGTACGGGTCACGTGGGTGACGCACCTGTAAGCTGAAGTCCCTGGTCAGCCCCATCCTAGCGCCCAGCTCCTCCTCCCCAGCGATCTGCTGGATGGGCTCCACCAGCGCCTCCACGGGCAGCACGTTGGGCGTGTCCTCTACGTCACAGCTCACGTAACCAGCCAATCCAAGAGCTGCACGGTCACGTGATCAGAGTGTTAAACCAAGGGACAGGACTCATGTAAAATCTAAATTAATTAACCAATTATGTTTTAGCTAGCCAGATTATTTTCGTTTCAATTTAAAAACAAAAAATTATAGTCGTAGAATGGGACGGCGTGGCCAGCAGTAGAGCACTAGACTGCTAACCCGAAAGTCTCGAATTCAAATCCGGGTTTTGATCCCAAATTAGGATCCCAGAGGGCAGAATAAAAGCATTAGGATCCCAGGGGCAGAATAAAAGCATTAGGACCCCAGGGGCAGAATAAAAGCATTAGGACCCCAGGGGCAGAATAAAAGCATTAGGACCCCAGGGGCAGAATAAAAACTTACCCAATAATAAGAGCAGTCTCATCTCGCTGTGATAACCTTCAAGTCAAAAAAGAAAACAAATTAGCGAGATCAACATTTTACACAGTCAAATACAACCTGCTGCCTACCTGTAGCCTGTAACCTACCTGTAGCCTGTAACCTACCTGTAGCCTGTAACCTACCTGTAGCCTGTAACCTACCTGTAACCTACCTGTAGCCTGCAGCCTACCTGTAGCCTGTAACCTACCTGTAACCTACCTGTAGCCTGCAGCCTACCTGTAGCCTGCAACCTACCTGTAACCTACCTGTAGCCTGTAACCTACCTGTAGCCTGTAACCTACCTGTAACCTACCTGTAGCCTGTAGCCTACATGTAGCCTGTAACCTACCTGTAACCTACCTGTAGTCTGTAACCTACCTGTAACCTACCTGTAGTCTGTAACCTACCTGTAACCTACCTGTAGCCTGTAACCTACCTGTAGCCTGTAACCTACCTGTAGCCTGTAACCTACCTGTAGCCTGTAACCTACCTGTATTCTGTAAACCTACCTGTAGCCTGTAACCTACCTGTAGCCTGTAACCTACCTGTATTCTGTAAACCTACCTGTAGCCTGTAACCTACCTGTAGTCTGTAACCTACCTGTAACCTACCTGTAGCCTGTAACCTACCTGTAGCCTGTAACCTACCTGTAGCCTGTAACCTACCTGTAGCCTGTAACCTACCTGTAGCCTGTAACCTACCTGTAGCCTGTAACCTACCTGTAGCCTGTAACCTACCTGTAGCCTGTAACCTACCTGTAGCCTGTAACCTACCTGTAACCTACCTGTAGCCTGTAACCTACCTGTAGCCTGTAACCTACCTGTAGCCTGTAACCTACCTGTAGCCTGTAACCTACCTGCAGCCTGTAACCTACCTGTATTCTGTAACTTACGTGTAGCCTGTAAGCTACCTGTAGCCTGTAACCTACCTGTATTCTGTAAACCTACCTGTAGCCTGTAACCTACCTGTAGCCTGTAACCTACCTGTAGCCTGTAACCTACCTGTATTCTGTAAACCTACCTGTAGCTTGTAACCTACCTGTAGCCTGTAACCTACCTGTAGCCTGTAACCTACCTGTAGCCTGTAACCTACCTGTAGCCTGTAACCTACCTGTAGCCTGTAACCTACCTCTAGCCTATAACCTACCTGTAACCTACCTGTAGCCTGTAACCTACCTGTAGCCTGTAACCTACCTGTAGCCTGTAACCTACCTGTAGCCTGTAACCTACCTGTATTCTGTAACTTACGTGTAGCCTGTAAGCTACCTGTAGCCTGTAACCTACCTGTATTCTGTAAACCTACCTGTAGCCTGTAACCTACCTGTAGCCTGTAACCTACCTGTATTCTGTAAACCTACCTGTAGCCTGTAAGCTACCTTTAGCCTGTAACCTACCTGTAGTCTGTAACCTACCTGTAGCCTATAACCTACCTGTAGCCTGTAACCTACCTGTATTCTGTAAACCTACCTGTAGCCTATAACCTACCTCTAGCCTATAACCTACCTGTAGCCTATAACCTACCTGTAGCCTGTAACCTACCTGTATTCTGTAAACCTACCTGTAGCCTATAACCTACCTCTAGCCTATAACCTACCTGTAGCCTGTAAGCTACCTTGACGACCTGTGAAATGAAATGACCAGAAAACTCACCGCTATCCGCGAGTGAGCAGTATTTGTACGTGCATCGCTCACCAACTCCTTGATTTATGGGGCAGTTCATGACGTCATTGTCCTTTGTCCGGGGTCTCTGTGTGCAGATAACTCTTCTAAAGAAGGCGGCAAATGCTGAATTATCTCATCCTTATTAGCTTTACTTCCTTTGTCAGGCTGGGCGGGCACGTGATGTTGACTGTCAAGTCTTTGACTGCTGGTGTGCTAAGGTCATTAATTAATTAATTAATTAATTAATTAATTAAGCGTGTCATCAGTTTTTCAGATCTCAGCCTTTGAAGTCTGACGAGACAAAGGGCCCTAACAATGAATTATTTGAAGGAACGTCACTGGTGTGGGCCTCTAAGCTCAGATTTGGCTGGGATGTTTTTATTCGAGAGGTTTATAGATGGGCTGGGATGTTTTTATAGATGGGCTGGGATGTTTTTATAGATGGGCTGGGATGTTTTTATAGATGGGCTGGGATGTTTTTATAGATGGGCTGGGATGTTTTTATAGATGGGCTGGGATGTTTTTATAGATGGGCTGGGATGTTTTTATAGATGGGCTGGGATGTTTTTATAGATGGGCTGGGATGTTTTTATAGATGGGCTGGGATGTTTTTATAGATGGGCTGGGATGTTTTTATAGATGGGCTGGGATGTTTTTATAGATGGGCTGGGATGTTTTTATAGATGGGCTGGGATGTTTTTATAGATGGGCTGGGATGTTTTTATAGATGGGCTGGGATGTTTTTATAGATGGGCTGGGATGTTTTTATAGATGGGCTGGGATGTTTTTATAGATGGGCTGGGATGTTTTTATAGATGGGCTGGGATGTTTTTATAGATGGGCTGGGATGTTTTTATAGATGGGCTGGGATGTTTTTATAGATGGGCTGGGATGTTTTTATAGATGGGCTGGGATGTTTTTATAGATGGGCTGGGATGTTTTTATAGATGGGCTGGGATGTTTTTATAGATGGGCTGGGATGTTTTTATAGATGGGCTGGGATGTTTTTATAGATGGGCTGGGATGTTTTTATAGATGGGCTGGGATGTTTTTATAGATGGGCTGGGATGTTTTTATAGATGGGCTGGGATGTTTTTATAGATGGGCTGGGATGTTTTTATAGATGGGCTGGGATGTTTTTATAGATGGGCTGGGATGTTTTTATAGATGGGCTGGGATGTTTTTATAGATGGGCTGGGATGTTTTTATAGATGGGCTGGGATGTTTTTATAGATGGGCTGGGATGTTTTTATAGATGGGCTGGGATGTTTTTATAGATGGGCTGGGATGTTTTTATAGATGGGCTGGGATGTTTTTATAGATGGGCTGGGATGTTTTTATAGATGGGCTGGGATGTTTTTATAGATGGGCTGGGATGTTTTTATAGATGGGCTGGGATGTTTTTATAGATGGGCTGGGATGTTTTTATAGATGGGCTGGGATGTTTTTATAGATGGGCTGGGATGTTTTTATAGATGGGCTGGGATGTTTTTATAGATGGGCTGGGATGTTTTTATAGATGGGCTGGGATGTTTTTATAGATGGGCTGGGATGTTTTTATAGATGGGCTGGGATGTTTTTATAGATGGGCTGGGATGTTTTTATAGATGGGCTGGGATGTTTTTATAGATGGGCTGGGATGTTTTTATAGATGGGCTGGGATGTTTTTATAGATGGGCTGGGATGTTTTTATAGATGGGCTGGGATGTTTTTATAGATGGGCTGGGATGTTTTTATAGATGGGCTGGGATGTTTTTATAGATGGGCTGGGATGTTTTTATAGATGGGCTGGGATGTTTTTATAGATGGGCTGGGATGTTTTTATAGATGGGCTGGGATGTTTTTATAGATGGGCTGGGATGTTTTTATAGATGGGCTGGGATGTTTTTATAGATGGGCTGGGATGTTTTTATAGATGGGCTGGGATGTTTTTATAGATGGGCTGGGATGTTTTTATAGATGGGCTGGGATGTTTTTATAGATGGGCTGGGATGTTTTTATAGATGGGCTGGGATGTTTTTATAGATGGGCTGGGATGTTTTTATAGATGGGCTGGGATGTTTTTATAGATGGGCTGGGATGTTTTTATAGATGGGCTGGGATGTTTTTATAGATGGGCTGGGATGTTTTTATAGATGGGCTGGGATGTTTTTATAGATGGGCTGGGATGTTTTTATAGATGGGCTGGGATGTTTTTATAGATGGGCTGGGATGTTTTTATAGATGGGCTGGGATGTTTTTATAGATGGGCTGGGATGTTTTTATAGATGGGCTGGGATGTTTTTATAGATGGGCTGGGATGTTTTTATAGATGGGCTGGGATGTTTTTATAGATGGGCTGGGATGTTTTTATAGATGGGCTGGGATGTTTTTATAGATGGGCTGGGATGTTTTTATAGATGGGCTGGGATGTTTTTATAGATGGGCTGGGATGTTTTTATAGATGGGCTGGGATGTTTTTATAGATGGGCTGGGATGTTTTTATAGATGGGCTGGGATGTTTTTATAGATGGGCTGGGATGTTTTTATAGATGGGCTGGGATGTTTTTATAGATGGGCTGGGATGTTTTTATAGATGGGCTGGGATGTTTTTATAGATGGGCTGGGATGTTTTTATAGATGGGCTGGGATGTTTTTATAGATGGGCTGCACGCTAGAGTGTTTTCCTACACCCCTGTTTGTTCCACCCATCAGCACATCCATCCATCCACCCCCCACCCTATCCCATCCATCCATCCACCCCACCCCCCACCCCACCCTATCCCATCCATCCATCCTCCCCGACCCACCCACCCTATCCCATCCACCCATCCTATCCCATCCATCCATCCATCCACCTCCACCCACCCACCCTATGCCGTCCATCCATCCATACACCATATCCTATCCCAACTTCCATCTACTGGGTGCGACTAATCAAACAAAATCTGCTTTGTGAGGAGTAGGCCACTGGATATAGACCACTGTATGTGGACCACTGTATGTGGACCACTGGATATGGGCCACTGGATATGGGCCACTGGATATGGGCCACTGGATATGGGCCACTGGATGTGGACCACTGGATGTGGGCCACTGGATATGTGCCACTGGATATGGGCCACTGGATGTGGACCACTGGATGTGGGCCACTGGATATGTGCCACTGGATATGGGCCACTGGATGTGGACCACTGGATGTGGGCCACTGGATATGGGCCACTGGATGTGGACCACTGGATGTGGGCCACTGGATATGTGCCACTGGATATGGGCCACTGGATATGGGCCACTGTATGTGGGCCACTGGGTGTGGACCACTAGATGTGGACCACTGGGAACATTAAAGACAACAATTTATCGCATGCCTATCCGATATGGATGGAAGGGAGATAACCGTGTTTAATTATTTGATATTTTAATATCCTAGTTACCTCCCATTTACATACTGCTAATGTTTTGTTATTTTTAAATTATCCATACACAATTACACATCATACACTCTGCTGTTGTCCGAAGGGATTGATTCAGTTTTATAGCTATTAATTTATTTATGGTCTAGAAGCTGTAGCAGTTTGTTACTTTACATTTGTTTTAATAATTTAACCTGCATGATGTGAGCAAAATGTTGTTCATTATTATTAATGGTAAGAGTCTAATTAGCAATTACAGAAAAAAAAATTCTCTGGACACGGAACATCAGTGTCAGTCACACATGAAATACTGAATGATGACATTCACCTTTTTTAAAATCTACACTTCAAAATATATCTTCCATGGCCACTGAATTAAACTAATTGGGATTTCTTACAAAGAACAGATACTCTTTCAGGCAGAGTTTGGAATATTACAGTGGCCTCCCTTACAAAATAGGCAAGCAACACTGATGTCTGCTGTACATCAGTACATCTAAATCTATATTCTAGATCTCTAGATCTAGTCAGATTCTATTTACTATTTTATTACTAGATTCTGGGTCTAGACTTTCTAATACTTACTAGATTCTAGATATGGTCTAGATCTAGATCTATTTGTATTTTACTAATTTAATTTTAGTTTTAGTAAATGAAAATGCAAGATTTAGAAAATATTAGGCCTATTTTTTAAGTTTTGATCTAGCTAGACTCTAGATTCTAGATCTAGAATTCTAGTATCTAGATTTCTAGATCTAGATCCTAGTCTAGAATCTAGATCTAGATTCTCATCTAGATCTAAATCTAGATCTAGAATCTAGATAATAGTAATAGATATCTATTATCTAGATCTAGAGATCTAGATTCTATTCTAGATCTAGATTCTAGATCTAATCTAGAATTCTAGATCTAGAGTCTAGTGATTCTTATGATTCTTATGAATACTTATGATCTTATCTAATTCTAGATTTCTCTAGATCTAGTATACTATACTATAGATCTAGATATCTAGATCTAGGCCTAGACCTCTATCTGCTATCACTCTAGTTTAGTTCTAGATCTAGATTCTAGTTTCTCTACTGGAATCTCTCTCTCTCTAGCTAGTGTAGACTCTAGAGTGCTAGAGTCTACAGTCTACACCTACACTCTACACTTTCTAGTCATCTAGATCTAAATCTAGATCTAGTTCTAGATCTAGATGAGATCTAGATTAGTGATTAGTTCTAGATCTAGTTTCTAGATCTAGATCTGCTGATCTAATCTAGATCTAGATTAGATCTAGAATCTAGATTAGTCCAGTCCAGTAGTCTAGAATCATGAAGTCTAGATTCTCTAGATTGAAAGTGAAAGATTCTAAGTCTGCCTCTACAAGCAACATCCAATCATATAATAATATTAGGCTATTCATTAGAGCTATAATTTATAGAAGGCCTAATTAATATTAGGGCCTAATTAGGGGCCTATTAATTAGTAATATTAATATTAGGCCTAATACTGAAGTCAGTATGCCACACTATGAAGTATGAAGTTACTTCATTTTTAATTTTTAGAATCTCTAGATCTAGATTCTAGACTAGATTGTAGGCCTAGATTCTAGCTAGATTTACATCATTTAACATTTTTTGTCTTTTCGTCTATTATCTAGTAAAAAAGCCTACAAGTACAATGACGCTACAACATACTACTACACTACATACTACATATCGCATATTACTTGCTGCTAAATTATAAAATTAATAAATTTAAGGTTTTACCGATTCTACTACTACTACCTACAGTCTAAACTCTAGACAAGAGTACTACAGTACTTGAATTTAGACTAGAGACAGTTAGTGTCAATTAGACTTGTCACTTAACTTGAGTTAACAAAACAATTTTATATTCAAAATTCTAGTAGTACTTGACCTAGGAGGACCTAAAGTAGAGAGTAGGCCTATAATATAGAAGTATAGATAGTTAAGATGGTTTCCCAAGCAGATTCATCTGGTTTTTTTTTTATAGAAATAATATTTGTTTTTGGATATTTTGACTTTGACATTAGTAAAAACTCATTTGAAATTAATCACTCTAAGTAGGTCGCGTTACCACCATTGTTAAATTTTTTTCCCGATCTATCAGCTTTTAGTGTTGATACACTAACAACAGAATTCTTATGTAAAAGTAATGTGCAAACAAATCTCATAAATGTTATTTTAAAAAAATATTTTAATATATCTTTCAGTTTTCCTGCTCTAGATCTAGTTTTGGTTGAAGTAAAATTTTGCCAAATATGTTTTTCCTAAAATTTCATCAGACTAGAGTGGAATCAGGCCTAGGTTACCTGGCTGTTGCTATACACTAGCTATGTAATTTTAAGTTTTCAAGTTCTACTTACAATTACTTATAGTTATATGCTGAAAATAAGCATTCATACACAATACACACATAAAAACATTGATTTGATAACGTCAGTTCACTTATAACAAAATGGTTTAAAGATGGACTACTTCACCTGCCTAAAATAATCAGGCAGTTATATTTCCCTGTTGGCTTCAGTTCTTCATGAAGACTCCGCCTCCAGGTCTGTCTTGGGCGCCCTCTCTTCCACTTTCCCAGGGGGTTCAGCTAAAGCGCTTGGCGTGTCACATTTGGGTGAGCCTTTCACGGTGTGTGTTGGAGCCTTTCACGGTGTGTGTTGTTCCCTTCGCCACTTCCTCCTTTTTATTTGCACTGTCATAGGCTCATGCCGTGCGTTCTCCATAATTCTATGTTCGGCACTTTGTCCTGCCACCGTGCGTTCTCCATAATTCTATGTTCGGCACTTTGTCCTGCCACCTCTGTTTCAAAATCTTTCTAATCTGTTCATGAAAATCTGTATCTTTGCTGTGCTTGCCTTGGAGACTCTCCATGTCTCTGCTCCATAAATATACTAGATTTCTTTAATTTTTATACAATAAGCCGATTTAAAAAAGTGCAAATTTTACTTTCACTAACAGAGAACAGTTTTAAAAATTTTAATTTCTATATCTATAACAGAGAATGCTTTATCAAATTTTACTTTCTATAACAGAGAAAGTTTGCAACATGATGAGCTTTGGTTGGAAGCGAAAAATTGGGTCAAACGTCAGCAAAGTAAAAACTGCAACTTTTTCTGCTGAAACAAAAGATGAGGAGAGTCCAGATGTTGACTGGCTAACCTCCGCACCAAAAAGAAAATTTGTTTCCCTGGAAGATGCCAGCTCCAAGAGTCAGCGGCTCCAAGCTGAGGGTGCTGTCTTGGCTGAAGCAGAAAGGTCATGACCTTTTTTTTAAACAACCATTAAGTTTGTAATGAAAGTTGCATTATTAGGTTAATCACATAGGCCTGTCAGATTAGGTGCTGTTGACAGGAACAGGGCATGACCCAGCAATATATGGAGAACTTGATATGGAGTTTTGTTGAAAATAATATGGTAGATGTTTTAAATGTATAAACAAAATTTTATTTAAAGAAGAAAAATAAAAAAAGGCATATTCAAATGTAGAAAAACAGTTTTAATTATGCAACAGGAAAAGTGTTTATAGTTGAGACAAGAACGCCGAAATCGATGACGTCACATGTCATATGTTTGAAGTACGGAAAGTAAACAAAACCAATGGCGCATCTTCCAATTTTAGAATACGAAGAAATGAACTATTTCATAAAAATTTGATTTAGATCTATAGATTTACTTATCAAGACATAATTTATGAAATTTATACAATTTCCTCGGCCAAAACTAATACAAATTACTTTAAAAAACAACATAAATACCACTTCTTCTTCTTCTTCGTTCTTAATTATTAGTGTTGAAGGGGATCGAGATTTATCTGCCAGTGGGTTTGAACTCGAGACTTTGTTCGAATTTATCAACCATGAGCTTTTTGCCGACTCGACCACGCCTCCAACACAATTAAGCGTTACGTGTCAACCGGTTATGCGCCATTGAGGCCATTGACTCCGATTTCAGCCTGCTTTTCTTTTTGGATTTGCTTCCATTGCCTTTGTCCAACCAAGAACAAACTACAAGGCAGCAGTTGTTTAATTTTGGAGTTGTCTCTCCTAGAAGAGTGGCTGTCCCCAGCTAACGAGCCTCATGTGCCCGAGGGTTCGAACTCGAGACTTTTGGGTTTTAGCAACCATGAGCTTTACCGACTCGACCACGCCGACCCCATAAATACCACTGAAAAGCCGGGTTTTTAGCGGAATCATTTAAGTCTTTTAATCAATGTGTGCATTCAATACGGTGTTGTGTTGACTAAATATGTATATAATTTGGTTTTATTTTTTCTAATAGGTATTACTAGCCTATATTATTTTAAATGTGTCGGACATTTAGCTTTTTAGTTATTTCTTTGAGTTGTCACTAATATCGTTAAACCTGTAGTAAAGCACATTGCGTTTTGACCAATAACTATTTTATAAAATATTCTTCTGAACATTGTAGGCCTATAACATTAAAAATATATAGACCTATAATTCACGTGTAACGGGTACCAACTGCTAGTGTAATATATAGGTACAGAGTTGGGGTCAGGATTCTCAAGCGACTGCCTCCATCCAGATTATGTTCATCTAGTTCAGAACATAGGCACTAACTTTTTTATATACAAGTAAAGTTTTCTTTAATTACAAATATTCAACTGTTTTGAAAACAGGAAACATTACTAATTTTTAGCAGCTTTTATTTAGTTCACAACGTCTGTTTGTTTGTTTGTGGCAAATCTTGTAGCTAAATTTTGACCCACTTTTAAAAGCAGCGATTGTGTTCAAACTTTCCAGATATGTTCCATTTCGATGACAATGCAAGTCTATCTATTTTTTAATTTAATTAGTTTTTTAATTAATCATTAAATATCAATTAAAATGTTTTGAAACTAAGGGGAGATAACAAAATTAAATTATTCGATAGATTACTATATATTATATATTCAATAACAGAAGGGGAGATAGCTAGTAGCGATCATCCTAACAGTCTGGTGAGCTGTGGTTCACGAGAGTATTTACAATCGTATAGTCGGTCGATCTAGTGAAGGCTATTAGCGCAGATAATATAGTTATAAATTATTTGAAACTATAGGGAAGTAAAAGAGCTACTTGATCTGGTTGCTGCCATCAGTATGGCTGCTTTCATGGGGGTGGGTGGGGGAGGAAAGGATAATCATCTTTCATAACCTACTGATAGTGTTTTAAAGCAAATATTTTTAGTTGCAGCTTTGGTAGAAATAGATTATAAATTACTAAACAGTAGAAAATACAACAAATATAAAAAAATTCTAATAGCAAGCTTTTAAATGCACTGAAAATGTGCTTTCTTTCATAAAAGCTTTGGTTGCTAAACTATGCGAAACATCTTCTGAGTAACAAAAGCTTTTTATGAAAGAAAGCAAATTAGTTTTATTTTCTTAATTTCAGTGCATTTTAAAGCTTGCTATTAGAAAGGTTTTTTATATTTTAAAAATATTATTTTATTATTACATTTCATATAATTATTAAAATTGTATTTGCTATAAATTTTAAATATGATAATACAATTTTAATTTGTGTATTTATAGGATATTGGGGAGATCTAACTGTGACAGATATTGGAAAGCTCTAACTGTGACAGATATTGGGGAGATCTAATTGTTACAGATATTGGAAAGCTCTAACTGTGACAGATATTGGGGAGATCTAACTGTGACAGATATTGGAAAGCTCTAACTGTGACAGATATTGGGGAGATCTAACTGTGACAGATATTGGGAAACTCTGTGACAGATATTGGGGAGATCTAACTGTGACAGATATTGGGAAACTCTGTGACAGATATTGGGGAGATCTAACTGTGACAGATATTGGAAAGCTCTAACTGTGACAGATATTGGGAAACTCTGTGACAGATATTGGGGAGATCTAACTGTGACAGATATTGGGAACATCCCTCTGTATTTGACAGATATTGGTAAGATCTAACTGTGTATTTGACAGATATTGGTAAGATCTAACTGTGTATTTGACAGATATTGGGAAGCTCTTAAGAAATGGGATGAAGCAGCTCAGCTGACACCAGGCAATGAAAAAATTCTTGAAATGAAAGCCCAGGTTAGTCCATGGCCATATATGTTCATCACTACTTCAATATGCCCATCACTACTACAGTATGTCAATCCCTTCTACAATATGCCTATCACTACTACAATATGCCCACCACTACTATGACATGCCCATCACCCCTACAATATTTGCCATCACTACTACAATATGTTCATCACTCCTATAATATAGCCATCACTCCTACAATATGCCCATCACTACTATGTGGCTTTCCACATGCGGACTTAAACCACAAAATACTTACATTTGATAATTTAAACAAAAATTATTAAAAATTCTCATAAAATTAAAATGTAAATTATACAATAAATCAGCAGTTCTCGTGGTAAATTTATCAGAAATGTAACTGTATACCGCCCGCCTAAAAAAATAATCGCCTTTTTACCAAGCGGGAGGGGGTGGGGCAGTGACGGCGGCAATTTTTAAAACAATTCATGGTATTTCAAGTTTATTTTTAACATTTCAAACAATTGCAACCATATCATAGTAGACCTACATCATTATTTTGTGTCAAAGCTTAAGATGATGTACATATAGTCATTTCTTTTCAAGTAAAAAAAAAACTCAAAATAACCACGTTACAATTAAATATTTAAATATCAGCGCGTGTATAATGTGCTCGCTTGGTCAGGTGTGTAGGTCGAACGGTTTGTTATGGAAACGCAGTGTAAAATTGAGTAAAAGTAATAAATATATAAAATGAAGACTTTAAAATGATTAGCCGAATTAGCCCAAACCCGTATAGGCCTCTTCGTTGATAGCTAGACAGCGACTGTTTACAGTAAAAACTTCGAACTAAAGATTCTTCAATTTAAAAAAAAATTATGACAGCCTACAAAATAAAAAAGCCTTTAAAATCGAGAGGCAGTGTACAACGTCTCCACGCGATAGCTCTTTAAATAAAGTACAATTTTAAATAGTCCTTGCAGTCTTAGCACATTTACACGGTAAGTTTACACGCCCTAGACTTATGGACATTTTGGAAAAGTTTAACTCCCAAATATTATTCAGGCCTAGTAATGGAAGGTACTGAAAATATCAAATCCCTATATTACATTATCAAATATCAGTCAATGTACACATTGCATGCGTAATTGAATAAGTAACTTTTAGCATGTTTTGAGAGGTCTACAAAAAAAAAAAATTAATTGGGGGTGGGGGGGGGGGGAGGTCTAAAGGGGTCTAAAATTCCAAAATTTCGTAGATGTCGTAAATGGATGGATTGTAGGAAGAAAAGTCATAGGAAAAAAAAACAGAAAAAAAAGTCACAGGAAAAATAGTCACATGAAAAAAAGTCACATGAAAAAAAGTCACAAATGTATATTTGCTTGGTATTTGTTAATACTTTTATGTATTATGCTAATAAGTTTACGATTAATTAAATTTAATGTAATTATTTTAGATATATATGAGTGGGTTGTATACACATAGTAATATATATAACAAACAAAAGATTTTAGTATAAAGTTGTAGTTTTGTTTTTGTAATTCTGTTTTGTAATATATTATTATACAGAATTTAATATAATATTTGATTAATCTCGGTTTCAATTGTGTTTTTTAAATACTAACTTTAAATCGTGAAATCTCATATACAAAGTTAATGTGTCTTGCGGTCCTCAACTAATCACAATTATAGTTCAACCACCTTTACTGACCACATTTATCACGCTCATTACATAACAAAGCCTAAGATCAAAAGAGAAAGTCGACACGGTACAAAGGTGCGCAATTCTTTTTTCTATGACATTCTATTCTATTTTTAAAAGTTTAAGTAATTAAAAATCATTTCTATATTCCAAGTTATATAAGAATATTCGAGAAAGTTTAGGGGAGATCACTCCCGGTTTATTAGTAATTCATAATTTGTGAATTCGACAGTATCACTGCTGTCATTGAAAATATTTGCTTTAAAACACTGTCGTTAAGGACGATACCCCCCCCCACCCTCCTTTCCCCCTCCCCCCCACATGAAAGCAGCCTCCTCTTAGCTACCTCCCCTAAGTTTAAAATAGTTTCAAACTAAATTATCTGCCCCTAATAGCCGTCACTAAACCCGGCTCTATGATTGTAAACATTTAGCGTGAACAACAGACTTCCTAGAGAGGAAGAGAGGGGACTGCTAGGCGCGCTTACAGCGTGGTGTTATCTAACGTCTCCAAGACTCCTCTGTCCAAGACTCCTCTGTCTTCCCTATCACATGTCAATCTTAAATTCCATGTTTCCGTCTCTTGTAGCACTAAAGTGTTGGCTAACCTTTGACCTTTATGCAGGCGTTGATGGCAGTCGGCGAGGTTTTCCCTGCGCTGCAGATGGCAGAAAAAACTGTGGACATGGCACCCCTGTGGTGGGTGGGGCACCAGACACTGGGCAGAGCTTTGGCCAATACCGGAGAAGTCAGGCTGGTCAGTGGTTTGGTTTAGTTGGGCTGGTCAGTGGTTTGGTTTAGTTGGGCTGGTCAGTGGTTTGGTTTAGTTGGGCTGGTCAGTGGTTTGGTTTAGTTGGGCTGGTCAGTGGTTTGGTTTAGTTGGGCTGGTCAGTGGTTTGGTTTAGTTGGGCTGGTCAGTGGTTTGGTTTAGTTGGGCTGGTCAGTGGTTTGGTATAGTTGGGCTGGTCAGTGGTTTGGTTTAGTTGGGCTGGTCAGTGGTTTGGTTTAGTTGGGCTGGTCAGTGGTTTAGTTGGGCTGGTCAGTGGTTTAGTTGGGCTGGTCAGTGGTTTAGTTTCTCCCTTCCTGTGACAGGCACTCAAAAGTTTCTCCCTTCCTGTGGCAGGCACTAAAAAGTTTCTCCCTTCCTGTGGCAGGCACTAAAAAGTTTCTTCCTTCCTGTGGCAGGCACTAAAAAGTTTCTCCCTTCCTGTGACAGGCACTAAAAAGTTTCTCCCTTCCTGTGACAGGCACTAAAAAGTTTCTTCCTTCCTGTGACAGGCACTAAAAAGTTTCTCCCGTGCCGTCCACCTGTACCCAGGGGACCAGGAGCTGTGGGAGGAGGACCTGCTATGGACGAGGTCACTGCTAGAGAGGAGGAAGCTGGTCTGTGAGGCTGAGCCTCCTACAAGCAGCAGTGTCACAATCACAGAACTCTCAGAACATGGCACTGAGGTCAGCCCCACTGAGAGGTCAGTGCTTCCATACAGCCACACTGACCAGTCACAGCAACAACAGCACATTCAGCACTTGCCCAGAAACTATGTCCAGATGAGGGATCCAACATGACCGCAACACTTGCCTACCTGACCATCAACACTTGCCTACCTGACCATCAGCACTTGCCTACCTGACCATCAACTGACCATCAACACTTGCCTACCTGACCATCAACACTTGCCTACCTGACCAGCAACACTTGCCTACCTGACCATCAACACTTGCCTACCTGACCATCAGCTGACCATCAACACTTGCCTACCTGACCATCAACTGACCATCAACACTTGCCTACCTGACCATCAACACTTGCCTACCTGACCAGCAACACCCTACCTGACCATCAGCTGACCATCAACACTTTCCTACCTGACCATCAACACTTTCCTACCTGACCATCAACATTTGCCTACCTGACCATCAACACTTGCCTACCTGACCATCAACACTTGCCTACCTGACCATCAACACTTGCCTACCTTACCATCAACATTTGCCTACCTGACCATCAGCTGACCATCAACACTTGCCTACCTGACCATCAACACTTGCCTACCTGACCTTCAACACTTGCCTACCTTACCATCAACATTTGCCTACCTGACCATCAACACTTGCCTACCTGACCATCAACACTTGCCTACCTGACCATCAACACTTGCCTACCTTACCATCAACATTTGCCTACCTGACCATCAACACTTGTCTACCTGACCATTAGCTGACCATCAACACTTGCCTACCTGACCATCAACCCTTGCCTACCTGACCATCAACACTTGCCTACCTGACCATCAACACTTGCCTACCTGACCATCACTTGACCATCAACACTTGCCTACCTGACCATCAACACTTGCCTACCTGACCATCAGCTGACCATCAACACTTGCCTACCTGACCATCAACACTTGCCTACCTGACCATCAACACTTGCCTACCTGACCATCAACCCTTGCCTACCTGACCATCACCTGACCATCAACACTTGCCTACCTGACCATCAGCTGACCATCAACCCTTGCCTACCTGACCATCAACACTTGCCTACCTGACCATCAACACTTGCCTACCTGACCATCAACCCTTGCCTACCTGACCATCAACACTTGCCTACCTGACCATCAACACTTGCCTACCTGACCATCACTTGACCATCAACACTTGCCTACCTGACCATCAACACTTGCCTACCTGACCATCAGCTGACCATCAACACTTGCCTACCTGACCATCAACACTTGCCTACCTGACCATCAACACTTGCCTACCTGACCATCAACCCTTGCCTACCTGACCATCACCTGACCATCAACACTTGCCTACCTGACCATCAGCTGACCATCAACCCTTGCCTACCTGACCATCAACACTTGCCTACCTGACCATCAACACTTGCCTACCTGACCATCAATTGACCATCAACACTTGCCTACCTGACCATCAACACTTGCCTACCTGACCAGCAACACTTGCCTACCTGACCATCAACACTTGCCTACCTGACCATCAACACTTGCCTACCTGACCAGCAACACTTGCCTACCTGACCAGCAACACTTGCCTACCTGACCATCAACACTTGCCTACCTGACCATCAACACTTGCCTACCTGACCATCAACACTTGCCTACCTGACCATCAACACTTGCCTACCTGACCTTCAACCCTTGCCTACCTGACCATCAACACTTGCCTACCTGACCATCAACACTTGCCTACCTGACCATCAACACTTGCCTACATTCAGTAGGTGGTTTGATGGTCAATTAGGGCACACATGGCTAGTCAGGTCATCATATGGCTAGTCAGTGAGGTCATCACACAGCCGGTCAGTGAGGTCACAACATGACTAGTCAGTGAGGTCAGTACACATGGCTGGTCAATGAGGTCATCACACAGCTGGTCAGTGAGGTCATCACACATGGCTGGTCAATGAGGTCATCACACATGGCTGGTCAATAAGGTCATCACATGGCTGGTCAATGAGGTCATCACACATGGCTGGTCAATAAGGTCATCACATGGCTGGTCAATGAGGTCATCACACATGGCTGGTCAGTGAGGTCATCACATGGCTGGTCAATGAGGTCATCACACATGGCTGGTCAATAAGGTCATTACACAGCTGGTCAGTGAGGTCACCACACATGGCTGGTCAATGAGGTCATCACACAGCTGGTCAGTGAGGTCATCACACATGGCTGGTCAATGAGGTCATCACACATGGCTGGTCAATAAGGTCATCACATGGCTGGTCAATGAGGTCATCACACATGGCTGGTCAGTGAGGTCATCACATGGCTGGTCAATGAGGTCATCACACATGGCTGGTCAATGAGGTCATCACACATGGCTGGTCAATAAGGTCATCACATGGCTGGTCAATGAGGTCATCACACATGGCTGGTCAGTGAGGTCATCACACATGGCTGGTCAATGAGGTCATCACACATGGCTGGTCAATGGGGTCATCACACATGGCTGGTCAGTGAGGTCATCACACAGCTGGTCAGTGAGGTCATCACACATGGCTGGTCAATGAGGTCATCACACATGGCTGGTCAGTGAGGTCATCACATGGCTGGTCAATGAGGTCATCACACATGGCTGGTCAGTGAGGTCATCACATGGCTGGTCAATAAGGTCATCACACATGGCTGGTCAATGAGGTCATCACACAGCTGGTCAGTGAGGTCATCACAAATGGCTGGTCAATAAGGTCATCACACATGGCTGGTCAGTGAGGTCATCACACAGCTGGTCAGTGAGGTCACACATGGCTAGACAATCGGGCCACACATGGCTAATAATGAAGTCATCACACATGGCTGGTCAATGAGGTCACACATGGCTAGACAATCGGGCCACACATGGCTAATAATGAAGTCATCACACATGGCTGGTCAATGAGGTCATCACACAGGTGGTCAGTGAGGTCATCACACAGCTGGTCAGTGAGGTCACACATGGCTAGACAATGGGGTCACACATGGCTGGTCAATGAGGTCATCACACAGCTGGTCAGTGCGGTCATTGTACTAAATAAAATTGTAGACAGTGATTGCTTCTTAGGACCCCTCCACCTATAGAAACAAATGTGTCCTTTAGTACACAGAATATCTATAGGACCCTTTGTGTCCTGTAGGACCCAGTATGTTCAAGAAACATAGTTTGTTAGATGATGGGCAATATCTCCTTGATAAAACATGATTTATTAAAAACAAATAAATACAGTCTGGTAGGGCTTGTATTTATTAAAAAGTGAGTTTATAACATCACCAGTATGTGTTCCATTTATTTCATGTTCAGTTTGTTTGTTCCAAGTTCTACTAGAGCTAGCTGGGCTTTAAGTTACTTTAACTTCTAGGATAGACCAAGTCAGGATATCCAAATTGTCTGCTGCATGTCTACGTCTGTCCGCTTAAAACAATATAAAGGGAGAGAATACATGGAAGTCATTTCACTCGTGTGTGGCGACTGTTTAGTGTTGTCTCCCTTTTTTATATTAGGACGTGAAACTTAATCAGGAGAAGTACAAAACAAATATGTTAAAATTTGAGGAAGGGAGATAGTGTCTTTATAACGTCACTTTGCCAGAAATAAATCATTATACACCCGATAAAGTCACAAAGCTCTTGAATTGGCTCAATACCAAATTAGAAATAGAGTATACACATGGAGTTCAACGAAGATGAGCACTTCAAATAGTGGGTCGTAGAATGGATGTCTTTGGTTGGTCTGGCCTGACCGTTGAGTCGCCGTAAAATGGCCGTATAATAAACTCAAGAGACAGGTACATGTCCATTTTGTTGGTCCACCTGACGTCATCCTGTGACCACCTGTCATCTTGTGGTTCCTATGTGCTGTCCTCTCACCTGTGTCGTCCAGTCCTCTCACCTGTGACGTCCAGTCCTCTCACCTGTGACGTCCAGTCCTCTCACCTGTGACGTCCAGTCCTCTCACCTGTGACGTCCAGTCCTCTCACCTGTGTCGTCCAGTCCTCTCACCTGTGTTGTCCAGTCCTCTCACCTGTGACGTCCAGTCCTCTCACCTGTGACGTCCAGTCCTCTCACCTGTGACGTCCAGTCCTCTCACCTGTGACGTCCAGTCCTCTCACCTGTGTCATCCAGTCCTCTCACCTGTGACGTCCAGTCCTCTCACCTGTGTCGTCCAGTCCTCTCACCTGTGTCGTCCAGTCCTCTCACCTGTGTCGTCCAGTCCTCTCACCTGTGTCGTCCAGTCCTCTCACCTGTGTCGTCTAGTCCTCTCACCTGTGTCGTCTAGTCCTCTCACCTGTGTCGTCTAGTCCTCAAGACGTCTGACTGTGTCGTCCAGGACCGTGTCACCACGACTGACAAGGCCGTCATGACCTGGGAGATACTAGATTGTTCTCCCTACTTGCTTACAGCAGGGAGATAATTCTAGAGTGGTTTTAAATCCTGCCCCCCCCCCCCTTCGATCTGACATTGAATTATCTCCCCCGTGCCTCCGCCCACAAGACCATCTATTTCAGCCATTGGCTGGCGCCAGCTATCCCGGGCCCCGTAGAGAGACATGCGTGAACACGGCCCATCACTTTGTTTTATCCAGCCGAGTAACCGCCCCTGCTCTCTCCATTGAATTAGAAACACAAGGCACGAGACATGACGAAACATAAATGTCGTGACGTCACGGCAATTCACGTCAGATCCCCCGAGACATCACTCTCGTCATGCCGGGCTATTTTTAGCCCAACAACCTCCCATCACCCACAGTTCATTAAATATTTTTAGCCAACGCCCCCCCCCCCCCTCCCCAACATATGAGCTTAACTCGATAGGATGTACAGCGATGTTATGTCCTTGAGCTGTTGACCTACTCCAATGTGTTTCACACACGTCCCACACACATCCACTCACATATCCACTCACGCATCCACACCCACACACATCCACTCACACATCCACTCAAACACCCTCACCCAAATCCACTCAAACGCATCCACACACACACAACCACACAAACATCCTCATCCACACACACACATCCACACACACATTTCCACTCACACGCATCCACTCACACGCATCCACTCTCACATCCACACACATCCATTCCC